AGGAATAGGAGTGTCAGGGGAGTTGAGACTTTAGGGAGGAATTGACATTTGGGCTGAGGCTTGAACAGTGGGCCCATTTTGGACATGTAGAGCAGAGTTGTTGTAGGTACAGAGACCTTAGCATGCACAGAAGCACAGGTCAGAAAGTGCAGAAACGGTGAGAAGTGTGTTCCTCGTGTGATCAGAACATAGGGTATGTATGTATTTGGGTGAGCAAGGGGACAGTTTTAGGAGATGAGGCTAGAAAGGCAGACTGGATTCAGATAAAAGAATCGTTCCATGCCCAGGGTGTTCACATGTATTCTTTAGGTTGTGGGAACAACTTTTGAGGAAGACAGTAAAGATGGCCTAAACTGTCCTGTAGGGTAAGTCACTCCAGTTATAGTAGAAGAGCTAGATTAAAAAGATTACATAGGGTAGCAAGTCCTGTTAAGAAGCTGTTGATTATAGCTTGAACCAGTACAGCAGAGGCCTGATTAGATCAGATATTATACCTGTTTCCTTAACGATATCCATTGAATGTCTCTGGTGTCTGCTAGGTACTTTGATAGACACTGAGACCTTTTACTTTTTCTACTGAGACCCTCAAAATGTGTTTTTCATGGCATTGTCTCCCTCCTTATTCTCACTAGGACCATCCCAGGCAAAGCTCTCATCATTTATTCCTGAGCTACTAGAGCCACAGTTCCTCTGGACTCCAGGGTCTCTCCCCAGTCCAATTCATTTCATGTATTACTGACAAAATAATATTTACAAATGACCAGCATCATGCCATTTTTCCTTTAAAAGCTTCATTTTCTTCCCTACCAATCAAGTCTTAGTACCCTCTTTGGATTTCAGTGCCCTCAGCCTGTCTTTACCCTAACTAACCAAATTTTTCTTGCCACTTTCTAACACAAAAATGTGCTTAATCAGTTTGCTCTCCTAAGAGCATGTTCATTCTGCTTGCATGCCTTTCCTCATGCAGTCTCCTTGCTGTGAACGTTCTCTGTACTTCCTTACTCAAATTCTTCCCATCTTTCAAGTCAGCTCAGATTTCATCTCTTGCCCCAGACTTTCTCTACATCTTCTTAGAAAACATGATTGTCTTACGCTGTTTTTCTCTGTCTATGGTGTCTAGTGCGTGACTGGGGCTTCCATCCTCATAACTGCTCCTTGGTTAGCAGTATGACTGTAGGAGAGCCAGCTGTCCTAACCAAGTTCCAGACAGGAAAGAGAAATGCAAAGGGCAGAAGGAGCATCTCTCCCAGCTGAGTCAGCCATGAGAGACATTTAAAGAGCTCTCTCAGAAGTCTATCCAGTGACTGCCAATGAGTTGGCCTCTGTGGTCACCCAAAGGTACAAGGAAACCATTTTTAGGTCTAGATATGTTAGAAAGAAAGGAATTTGGCTCCATGTCACGGGGAAGTCAGATATAGTGAGATGAGAAACCAGAGTCAAGAAAGCAAAGTAAGTTTTCATACACTCTGCGCAGAGTAACGGAGCGGACCTGCCTAAGGTGAGACAGGCCTGGATGCCCATTGTGAGGCTTCTTTTATGTGGTTTTGGCAGGGCAGAGAAGTCCTTGACTGACAGCTCTTCACCCTCTAGGCTCGTTCTGGTTAGTGCAATGAGGACAGGGGCTGTGCTGTGCCTGTGCCTCTGATGTTTCTTATCTGGGAAGACCCTGGACATTTCCTGAGTCACTCTTGGACCCTGTGGCTTCATCTGATTAACTCTCTGAGTCATTTCTGGCTCTATGGCTCTATCTGATGAACTCCCTGAGTCATTTTGGGGGGCCCCTCTCTCCTTTTCACCCCACTCATTTCTGTCTTTCTGCCCAACAGATAGACATATTCCGAGTCAATGTTGAACAGGTCCAGAGGGCACTGTTCTTAATAGAAAATAATACATAAAATGGAATGGAGTGTTTAGAATTTTAATCTGGGTAATGATAACACAGTATAAATATATATATATATAAAGTCATCAGGCTGTATATTTAAGACTAGTAAACTATACTGAATGCGTGTTATACTTCAGTGTAAAAAAAATTAATGCCTCTCTTTCCCAGAGCTGTACAGTGTGGTGGCCCTGGGCACACTACTGTGGGTAAAATTAGAATTATGTTCTCAGGAGGACTGAGTGAGAGGGGACATTGGGTTAGGTTCCTAAATATTTTTGTCAAACTTATAGGACTTTTTTCTGAAGGCCATCAATACTTTGGACATGTAAACCAAAGCTTTAAAATATTGTAGTATGTAATGTAATATATTTATCAGGAGAAAATCAACTTAAATGGGAAGATTTTTTATATATCACCTTAACCGCTGAAAAACTATCTTTACACTGATTAAAATTAATTTTACTTTTATAACATAAAAGTGGTATAAAAAATGATTAAAGATTTTCTTTTGTGTTTGCTATTTAGTAGATACTAAGTTAATGTTGAAATATTTCAGCAAAAACAACAAGAGTGAAAATATCAGTTTTAAAATACAAAGTATTATATGGTAATTTTTACTCATGCTGTAAAATATAAGAGTAAGTGTAAACTCAGGGTTTTTTTGACTGCTTATGTACTTTAAACAGAAAAGCAACATATCGTTTTATCGAGTCAGTACTAAAACAATTCGTGTTTTTTTCAAGTGCAGCACTGAAAGGACTCAGGATTAGTTTCCATAATCACTGTCACTCTGAGTAGTTCTAATGTGATAAATAAAAAGTGAGTAAATAAAACTGATAATAGGAAGTTAAAATCTAATCTATATTTTTAGGTGCTTGCAAACATTTAAATAATGTTTTGAAATTTTATTTTACTTTATTTTAGAAAAAATGAAAAAAATAAGCAACCAAATCTACTTTGTTGTTTATGGTAAAAGTATTAGAAAATGTGTGACATGTGACTGGTCTGCTTTTGTATTCAGTATCTTCAATTTAAAATACACTGTAAATAAAGAAATTGGGGAATGGCAACATTTTCAGGCATTTATTTCTCAATGTCTGTGGGTTGATGTTCTTTTGTGTTTAAAGAAAAGTTGTGTTTTTCTCACTTAGGTTCATCCACAGCAGCACCGGCTTCTTTTTGAAGTATTTGATGAAAATCGATTGGTAAGTTACATTGTCCTAGTGTGAAGTAGGAAGCAAGGGTGCGCTTCAGGAGAGCAGCAAGGAGGAGCGGGCTGGGAGACGATTTAGGGTGGTTACCGAGGCTCTGGGCAAAACGGTGAGGCTCATACACATTTTTCTACCTCCTGGTGGTACTGTCCCTTCATTCTTCTAGGCACCTCTTGCGATTGTCAGTTCTCGACAGATTAGACTCATGGCTTGTTGTGACAGGGGATGGCAGGAAAGCTGGCCTCTTTCTCTCCCTCACATTCATCCACATAGCCTGGTCAGCTGTCCCCAGGCTCAGGGATCCTTCTCCCAGTGTCTTCAGTTTTTGCCGCCTCATGCCAGTGCATTTCTTCAGGTTACCTGTGTCTAGTTACGACCTCCCACCCACTCTCTTATCCTCACTCTTCTACGAAGGAAAACTATCCTCTTTACACTGATTAAAATTAATTTTACTTTTATAACATGATAGTTGATTTTATGTTCATAATAATGTTGATTGTATTTTTATAAAATGGTAATTCTGCTTCCTGATTTCCTAAAGACTATTTCTGAAGTCCTATCCTTTTCCTAATTTTGTCTCTTTTATTTTTTATTCATTTTTTATTTATTATTCAAGTTTCACTTATTCTTTTAGCAAACAAAGAAACAGGATTATTTTTAAGAATCTGTTTTTTTTATTAAGGTATTATTGATACCTTAAGGAATCTTTTTTAGTGTTGGACTATGTCACATGTTTCTTTCCCTCAAAATAGTTAACTGCTAATATCTGAAAATACTGCAAATGGAATTATTAGTTAGCATAATAATAAGCAAAGATGCTTTTTTTGCTGCCAAAGGAGACTTGATCACTAACTGACAATCTGTAATTTTAAGGCTGAATGACAGATGTTGATGATTTTGTTATCTGATATAGTCAGTAGCAAAGCTTTTTGTTTTCTGTTTGTCTATACTTTTTCTATAAAACAGGGTATGTTTTCTTTCTTTTCCCACCTGTCTCTACACATTTGTTTTCCTTCTAGATGAGACCAGGTGAAATATTTAGTATTGGTGTTTTTTATTCATGAAATATACATACAAAAAAAGCACATGTAATATGAATATTTATTTTAAGTAACTAGACAAAATATTTGCTCAACTTAATAATTAGAACATTACCAAAATCTTCAAAATCCTACCCCTCCCTAACTGCATGTCCTTTTTTACCCCCACATGTAGTAGCCACTGTCCTGAATATTGTTTATCATTTTCTTGCTTCGAAATATATTTTTATCAGGTATATATGTATCCCTAAAAAATAGTTTCCTTTTTCATATTTTTTGATGTATTAAAATATCACTCTGAATGCATTCCCCTGTGACATTTTTTTTGCTTAATGTTTTTTTTGTGAGATTGGTCCATGATAACACATTTGCACTGATGCATGGTTTCCCTTCATTTGCAAATACCATAAGAGTATAATTTATCTATTTATCTTCCTGAATTAGTGTTGTGTCTAGTTCTTTGCTATTACCAGTTTATAAACATTCTTGCCATGTTTCCTGATGTACATGCATGAGTATATCTCTAAGATTCATATTTTGGGATTGCCTTGCTGGGTTCCTGGGTATTACTGTGCTATTTTTCCTGTTGTTACTGACACTGGTGTGAATTTCTCCCTGATTCTTGGGTGCTCAGTTGGTGAACTATTTTTTGAGTTACTTGCATGTGGTCCACAAGGAGGGATAGCTCATGTTTGTGCTTGCCACCCTGCTTTTATGTCAATAACTGTAGTATGGTCTGACTTTCTTCATCACCAAAATTGATATCTGTCATATATTAATCAGTGCATTAACACTCCTGGACATTTATTATGTAGAGTATAATAAATATAAATTTATTATTTATAAATAAATAATATTGTTTATTATGTTGGATGTCATGATACATCAAAAGAATACACATTGTATTTGATATTGACAGTGGGATGTTTCTAAAGTTATACACATGATATATAAACATTTTTAAAAACCTTTTAAAGCTAAAAATAGAAAGAAAATAATGCATTGAACACAGTAGTATAGATCCATACACCAAGGGAGTCAGAAGTCCTGTCATAGTCCTGCTTATGATCTGGTATATTAGCTAGAACCCTGGACAAAGTATTCAGTCCTTCTGAAAATATTTTCTGATGTTTAAAAAGTGGGGATTAACAATGCTTTCCCTACCTATATAATGAATAGATGGTGAGGATAAAATGAGACAGTGGCTATCAAAGCACTCAAAATTTTTCACCATGAATATGAAGCATTATCTAACACACAGTGGATGTGTGCATTTATTCCTCTCTGACACATTAAAAATATTTTTAAAATTTTCATTTTGTATTGAAGTATAGTCGATACACAATATTACATTGGTTGCAAGTATATGACACAGTAGTTCAACAGTTACACACATCATTAAATCCTCACCCCAACTGGTGCAGTTCCTATCTGTCAACATAGGAAGATGTTACAGAACCATTGGCCATATTCTTCATGCTGTACTACCATCCTGTGACCAACTTACAGTATTCTGATACCATATTTTTTGTGTCAAGTAAGGTATGCCATTTAGGGATCCATTGTGGAAGCCAAAAGGAAGCAAGAAATAATTAGAACAGGGGATATGTGCATCACTCCAATCCTCTGATTTGCTGCTAGTCCTTGCAGATAATAGCAGTATACAGATCACCTGGAGATGTCATAGACACTATAGCCACTGGGGTAGTAACAGGCTTGATTGTATAGCAATAAATGGCCTATGTCACTGTAAATGTCATTTTGTCTTTATTTTCCTGTGACATTCACAACTAAATTAATAATGTATCCTTTTCATAGCAAATTCTCTTTGGAAAATGTATGAAAAAGAGCACAGATACAGTTTTAAGCAGAAATAGTTTCCAGTTAGCTGGAAAACTTTTATTCATTTTTTTCCCCAGCTGATTTTAATATCTAAGCGCTATAAAGTATAGCAGTTTAGTGTTGGTGATAGTGGTGGGACATTTCAGAATGATGTGCCTTTGAAAGAATTTTACCCACTGATGCAAAAGTCAGTACATCTGTGTCACTGACCTAAGAGATACACCTGCACACATCCAGCCTCTGAAGCTTGAGGACATCCAGCCTCTGTATTCTCTGTTCTTGATGGAGATGCTGTGCCTCTCAGGTTTAGTGATTGTATTAGTCAGGGTTTTCCAGAGAAACAGAACCAATAGGAGACACACACACACACACACACAGTGTGGGTGGTGGGGAGGAAGGGAGAAATCGAGAGAGAGGGATTGATTTATTTTAAGGAATTGTTTCATGCAACTGTGGAAGCCAGCAAGTCTGAAATCTGTAGGGCAGAGCTGGCAGGTTGAAGATTCAGGTAGGAATCGGTGTTACAGTCTTGAGTCTGAAATCTGCAGGGCAAGACAGCAAGTGAGAAACTCAAGCAGGATTTCTGTGTTGTAGTCTGAGAGAGAAGAATTGCTTGTTCTTTAAGAAACCTGTCCTTTGCTCTTAAGGCCTTCAGTTGGTTGGATGAGGCCCACCACATTATGGAATTTAATCTGCTTTAGTTCAATTTATTTAATTCAAAATTATTTCAATTTATTTATTTAATTTAATTCAAAATCTACTTATTTAAATGTTAATCACATCTGAAAAATATTTTCATAGCAACATCTAGACTGGTGTTTGACCGAACACCTGGGCAAAATAACCTAGCCAGGTTGACACATAGTGAATCATCTTCATGGACTGTGGCCTTAAGAGTTCTAGTCAGTGATCAGAGTTATCCAGAGCCTCTCCAAAGCATGTAGATAATCATAATTTTCTGTGCAGACTATCAATAATCAAACATCTCAGAATGTGGCATCTTGAGCTTCGTTCTAATCCTAAGACATCCATTTCATTCCACAATGTAAAATTCTATAGGACTTGCATAGATTCCTCCCAAATAATGGCTGTCACCACTCTGCAGTTCTTCTCCACTGAAGATTAGGGTTGATGCTCCTCTTAGGGCACCCGTTTGGCTAAGGGGCTACACTTAAACACAGGTTCCCCAGGATTTACATGTAATTGCGAAAATAGTGACACAGATTCTGTGCAGTCCTATACAAGAGCCAGCAGGACCAACTGTTCAGCTTCTCTAGAATTTAAACTCAGACTGGAGTGCTAGAAGGTGCATATGGTTCTCTTACCTTAGTTTTCCTTGGCTGATGCCCTCTGCAGATTTTTCAAGCATCATGCCTTCTTGTCCAGGTGCAGTGCGCTTTTGATATTTCTTTAGAAGTAGTAGCTGGATCAAGTTTTTTTAAAAAATCCCGAAGGAAACTGTTAGGCAGTCAGAGTAACTTCAGTAGCCATCCACTCATCCATTTAACCTCCTCTCTGGCATTACTTAGGACTTACTTAGTGCTGAGCATGAGCTCAGGAGGATCAGAAGGAATGTTTAGTTGTGGTCCTCACACTCCAGAGCCTTAAAATCTGGTTAGGGGAAATGAAACTGATTCTTATAGTGAAGCTTGCCAAAGAGAAAACCTCTATCTGGCCAAATATCTGAGTTTCATTATTTTACATTTAACAACCAGAGGAGCTTTGCTTGTTAACTGGAAGTTTTAGGCCACAGGCATGAGTGGTTAGATCTCCTTGATTAGTCTGACACAATCCATTCTTTGAGTTATCAGCCCCTAACTTAATTCAAGAAGAAAAGTTGAAGTAAAAATTACATTTGAAGGCAAAGTAAAAAGATCAGGAATCTTCCTTCTACAAAGAAAAAGGATTATTAGGGTATATTTACTGAAGTCTGAAAAATCATAAAGAAGATAGATAATACAAAACCAAAATAACACAACAAGCTTATTACAAAGTTTACAATTACTGTACACATTCTACAACATAGTGCCCTTTTATTCTAGTCAGAAATATAACAGTAAATTCCATATTTCTATTTTGTCATGTCTCAATTGATTAAAAATGCTGTTCAGAAAATGGAGATTGAGAATAGATTTATTGTAAGGAGTTTTCTTTTTTAAACCAAAATGCAAGTATATGTTTTACATATTTGCTTTTACTTAGAAAAAAACTTACTTAGAAAAATACAACTTGGGTGTAGTACCATGTGGTGTAAACAACTAAACTATTTTACTTTTTACTTTCCTATGAATGAGCCAGTATATATTTATTACTGGAGTTCCAGCTATAAAATTCAGGTAAGGGGTTTAAATATACCCTAGAGTATTATTTAAAAATAAATTTGTTTCTTTCAACAAGAATACCGACCTTGGTGTATGACATTTAGGGGAGAAATTAAAATATTAAACTTTTATTACCTAGTAAACTGAAAATAAAGGTTAAATAAATAGAAAGAAAAAATATATAAATACAAAATCACAACCTCTAAGAGAACAAACAGTCTACTGTTCTCAACTGTGGGAGCTTTATCAAAAGTAGTAAGTAATTCCCCTCTAGGTAGTTCTAGTACTCAAAAATGTAAACAACTGTGTACTTTGTTTATATAAAGAAGTATGCAGTATGGTTTGTATTTCTTTATAGACATCTAATAGCTGAATGGATTGTTTCACTGCACCAGTAGGGGCCAGCAAAGAGCTCTTAGAGTCTGAACAGAATTGGCATTGAGAGATGTTTATTTGATGTGTTAAATCCTTTTTAGACTTCTTTACTTACCACAACACTCTCTTAAGTGAATGAATTGCAGAGACAGTGGAATAAAATATCTTGTGTGCTTAAATTATATTGGGGTATAGTTTTTCTGTCTAATCTGCATATATTTTTTATGGAATGTTTGCTTAGGCTATTTCTTGGCAGAGTTTTAATAGTCAAAATATAAATGGCATCATTTAAAGACTGTACCACTTGGCTGGAAAAGGCCTTAAAATTACAGGAGAAAATGCTTGGTGACAGCTTCTCTCGAACTTTTTTTTCTCAGACAGATGCTCAAGTTTTGCAGTAGTGTTACTAGGCTAATTTTGTATTTCTGTCCTTAAACTTTCACTTTCTGTAAGTAGGGTTTTGGAAGCTAAAATATTTATCTATTTGATTTAATGCTAAAGTTTTAATTCACCTCAAAGTGTTGGTATTTCCAAATTTATGCAACTGTTTGAACTTCCTCATTTAATAAAATTTAACAGTCTGTATTCCTTTCTAAATTAACTAGCTTGACTAAATTTCTAGTATGGCTACTATTTGGAAATTCAATCCTTGATTTGATACTCAATTACATGGGGTTTCATTCCTACCAACTTCCTGTAATTCTATCCCTATGGGTAAAAATATTAGTGGTCAAATTCTGCTGGAGAAAGTATAGGCACCGTGATTCACATGGTTAAATGTTCATTTAGTAGGAACTGGAGTGAAAAAATACTGTTTCAACTTGAAATGCTAGAAGATTGTTGTTCTTGTGTTACTCATTCATGCAAATTGGAGAAGGTATAATTGAAACAAGGTTGGCAGTGTTTGAGGCAGTTTGCTGCAGCTGAGCTCAGCTTAAAGGTCGCTGGAAATCAAGTGCTTTGTAAGTGAAGGCATTTTGACTACAAGCAATTCAAGATATTTGGACACGTCAGTCTCAGGAATGGGTCGTCTTTTTCTTTCTATGATATCTGGTATCTAAGGTTTTACTTAGGATAAAGACTACTACTTAAGAAGCTCAATTAGGCACCACAAATGATTTTTTCTTTCGATGCAGTGCAGCTGCTTCTAGCCTGTCTACCGACAGAGATCTTTGTTATGACTTTCAGCCCTTAACATGTTTGGAAATGAGAACAAATGGCACAAAGTTTACGATTGCACTTTGCAGCCAGAAGAAGCAACACTTACCCTTTGTCAGAAACCTCCAGAGATGATTTGGAGAGCAATGTTCCCATGTGCTTCCAAAGACCAACACGGATTTCAGCGTCTAACGTTGTTCAGATGAAGCTGACTCCTAGACAGACTGCATTAGCTCCGTTAATAAAGGAAAACGTTAAGTCTCAGGGAAGATCATCTGTTCCTTCACCTGAAAATGTTAATAAAAAGAGCAGCTGCCTGCAGATTTCACTACAGCCAACAAGGTACAGTGGATGTCTTCAGTCTAGCAATGTCTTAGCCGATGGTGATGATGCTTCATTTGCTTGCGTCTTGAAGGACGGCATTTACAGCAGTGTTGTGGTTGATAATGAGCTGAATGCTGTGAATGGTGGTGACCTTTTAGGCAGTTCTGCCATTCGCAGTGGCCTTAGTAACTTTTCAGCCAGTGAGAATGGGTCTTGCAGCAGCAACTGTAGTGATTATGGGTCATGCACAAGTATCACAAGTGGAGGTTCGTATGCCCACAGTATCATCAGTGACAGCAGTGGTTATACTTTCCCACCAACTGATGATGCTTTTTTTGGTGGAACTTTATCTTCTGACAGCACCTCCCGTAGAAGTGTGCCAAACAGGAATTCTACTCCATGTGAAATTTTTTCCAGAAGCTCAAGTACAGTTCCCTTCATCCAAGATGACCTGGAGCATGGACTGGAGATGATGAAATTGCCAGTGGGTAGGAACTCAAAAATTCCACTAAAACGTTGTTCATCCTTAGTCATTTTTCCTAGGAGTCCTTCAAATACTCCACCAACTTCTCCAACAAGTACCGGTACTCTTCCAAGCAAAGGATCCTATCAAACCTCACACCAGTTTGTTATTTCTCCTAGCGAAATTGCCCACAGTGAAGATGGTACTAGCACTAAGGGATTTCTTTCAACAGCTGTCAATGGCCTTCGGTTATCTAAGACAATGTGTATTCCCGGAGAATTAAGAGACATACAACCACTTCACAGGAAGGGCTCATTTCAAAAGAAAATTGTTATTGCAAATAATAGTCCAAACCAGACTGCCTGTGAAAAGTCATCTGAAGGATATTCTTGTGTTTCAGTGCATTTCACCCAACAAAAAGCAACGACATTCAATTGTGAAACAGCAAATGGTGATTGTAAACCAGACATTTCAGAAATTAAGCTTAATTCTGATTCACAGTATATTAAGTTTATGCATAGGACATCTGCATGTTTACCATCCTCCCAAAATGTAGATTATCAGATAAATATCAATGGACAGTTGGAAAGACCAAATTTACAGATAAACAAAAACGATGGCATTTTACAAAGAAGTATTTCATTGAGAGGAACTTACCCAAATGTTTCCTGTTTATCCAGCCTTAAGCACAATTGTTCTAAGGGGGGACCATCTCAGTTGCTCATAAAGTTTGCATCTGGAAATGAAGGTAAAGTTGATAATTTATCAAGAGACAGCAATAGAGATTTCACAAATGAACTCTTTAATTCTTTGAAGCATTCTTCTAAGGTGAGTTTCCTTTGGTCTTGATAAATGTTAATTTATACTAGCATAGTTGTATGAAATATTTTGCTAAAATTTATTATAACTTAGCAGTTTTATATGTTTTACTGGTCCTTAGCTAGCAGATATTTTGTAGTCCTATAGTCATATTTTAGCAAGTCATTTGTAGTCAAATATTTTATATTTGTAAGTCTGAAGAACCCACAATAGTTTTTCACTCTGTTATTTTACCAAGGTAGAAAATACGTATTTAGAAAAAAATTTTACAAAGTGGTTAAAGCCATAAAACATTTCTGTAGCATAAAAACAAGCTTTAAATAATGATTTACTTTATAACATCTTATCTTGGTATATTTTTCCCTCAAGTGGCATAGTACTTTAATGTCTAACTCCATATTGTATTCCAACTTTCAAAAATGCCCATTTAGTAATCCCTCCCACTTAATCATTGTGAAATAAAGTATGGAATGATTATTAAAAATATTAAACACTAAAAAATCCAACATAAAAATGTGAAAATCTTGTTGTAAATGAACATAGAGTAAATGTTTCTCTAGATAATTTTTTAAAAGTATGATGCTGCATCTTTAAAGCAAAGGGAAAATAAATGGCATTTGCAGTTGTAGATACCCGTAACCACAGGAATTTTGTTTCCACCCTATTTTTCTTTAGCTACAGTTAAGACTGCCCTCTAAAGTATAACTGACTCTTTCAACAATATTGAGTTCTAAAGTTTATATTTTTGAATTTGGTTTCAGTTGCAAGGCATTTACCATAATTTCCTAGTTGCCTTATTGTTATTTTGATCATTTTGCTTTATCAGATGTAACTCTAATAAGTCTTAACCAAAACAGTTCTTATGTATTTTGGCCTTTCCAAAGTATTTGAACTGTTTTGAACTTAAATACTCTTTTTTAACTTCTGTATTTAGAAAATCTTGCCAGAATCCAGGAAACTAAAACTCTTTTTTCTGACTAAATCAGTTCTAGATGACAATGCATAATAGTTGAGGGAAAATAAAACTTATTTGTTTATCTGTGTTTATAAAACACTCAGTATCTGCATTAAAAATTAAAAAGACCTTCTGGACAAGTAGCTTTAGGTGAATAAAATACTGAATAATTGTTCATTTGTTTCTCTTTTGAAATCTCATCAATGTAATCGTTAACCCAATGCCCAGATGTTAATATAAGCAACTACTTTATGGAGGATGAATAAGGATCAAATTTCAAGTTCTGATCTATGTTTTAGAATTATTTCCACTTACAAAACTTTTTTAAAATCAGCCTTGAGGAGGTTATAATCCATTCAACTGTTTTGACCTCTGAAAGCAAGCAATGAAGTGGTATTATGAAGAAAGAAATAGTTTGCTAATTGAATTACATGTACCTTGTAAATTTTTTTATATGTAATGAAATAATCTGAAAGGAAATAATTAGCTTACAATATTTATAGAAATAGCCTTAAAATAGTTGGTTTTGTGGTAATATAGTTTGCTGTTGATGCTTTTGAAAAATGGTATTTTAATGGTTTTTAATAGTGTGACTAGCTGCCTTTTGCATAATGAAAACTATATACTTTTATTTGTTTTATTTAATTTAGGTAAGATAACTTAGGTTTTGTGTGTGTGTGACATCCAAATACTTAGCCTTGTGCAGATTCTTTTCTTTTTTCTTTTGGTAGATTATTTGATTACAAAATAGTTCAGAAGTGTGTAGTTTGCTGGAGAGCTTTAAACTGTCCCTCCTTTAAGTGTTTATTAAACAACTTTTTATTAAAATATTATAAATATATAGTGACATTAAATTCAACATATACTAGATCTAAATTGATACTGCTCAGTGGTAAATCAAGGTCTTTTTTTTTTAGAGGAAAATACTAATGTTTTATCTTAACATAGCAGTGGCAACAATAATGGGGCTTTAGAAATAATCCTGTTTATCAATAATTATATATTAATCTAATTATAGTGGTATATTGTAACTCATTTATAAATAAACGGCTCCCAAAATATTTGCCATGACTCCAGTTAGTCTGGGTTAGTATTCTGATATGCTGAGTCTGGATTCACATTTAACAAGTTGATATTAGAGTAGCATTTAGTAATGTTAGCTATCTGTACCGAGCAGCCGTGAAATTAAATCAGTGCTGTGGTTCAGAGACCCTGGTTTCTAAAGCACTGAGCAGGCTAAAGATTCTTTTCTCATGTGTGTAGCTACCCTCTCTAGCAGCATAATATCCAGTTTCTAGCTCTCTCTAACACCAGATCTTTAATGGCTAATTTTTTAAGTCTATTCGGACTTTTACCTATATTTGTTGACAGGATTCTGTTCTATGTTTACAACTTAGAATGACAATAGGTGTTTGTAGACTGCATGATAATATTTATTTTATTTATTTGCTGTCAATATAACAGCAACTGACATATGTTTATTACATGTACTTTTTGAAATACAATATTACTTTTGTAAAGTCTGTATAGTGACTTTTGATCTGAAAGTACATAGTTGATTTTAACATTGTGTGTAATATTTTGTTGGCCTAAGGTAGTTTTTTACCTAGTTTCAAAAATTACTGTGTAATAGTTTACTGTATAATAGTTTACCTCAATAATTTTTCCCAGCCTCTCACTTTCTAAATCTATGTTAGTTATTAGGATGTGCACAGATTTTATTACCCTATTATTGAAAGTACCTTAGCATTTTGCCAAGCTTGTTCATGTTTTCCATTCTTCACATATATGCATGTTTTTATCAGAAAGTTTGGCTTTACATTTTTTCTTTTTGTTATAAAAGTTATGTTCAATTTCTGTTACTTAATCCTGGGTAGGTAAATTGCTTAAGCCTAGTGCAGTGAACTTTCAAAAACAATGTCTCAGTTATTTCAAAATCTTTAACAGTAATCTCAAGATTATAACCTTCAATGATTTATTTAGCTGTTCTTCCTAAAATAAATGTTTTAAATATATACTTTTTTTTAGTGTTCCTTTATTTCATCAGCCCTTATTTTATTAACTTTAGCAGAATATTTAGGGACATTTAGCTAAATTTAATTTGAACAACACTTAATCTTTCCTGTAAAAAACAATATAGTTTATAAATATTGACTCTAAAATTGTGATGCAACAATGTTAATGAACAGTTTTAGAAATTTGGTGAGAAATATATGCTTATATATATATTTCTTGGAGCTGAGGAACTATAATACTAATTTCAAAGTGGTTCAGGATGCTGAATTATTTGATTCAGAAATATTTCATATTTCTCTGGTGATGTGTCTTTAATTAATTCATCCAACACACATTTGAGTACCTGCTGTTTGCTAGATGCTGACCCAAGCTCTGGGAATTAAAGATAATAAAGTACAGTCTCTACTTGGGGGAACTCCCATTCTAGTAATAGAGACACCCTGGTAAACAAAAATTTCAGTCTAACGTGTGATGTGCTGAAATAGAAGTGCATATGAGAGAGTAAGAAAGAAACATTATTTGCCTGGAGGACAGGACCTGCTTGGTAAAGGAAGGAAGGCTCCACAGAGGGGACATCTGAGCTGAGTCTTAGTAGGTGAGTTGGAGTCACTGGGCAAAGAAATCAGGGAGGATATTCTAGGACAGAGATTCTCAATCTCAGCATGATTGGCATTGTAGGCTGTGTGCTTTCTGTTGTGGGGGCTGCCCTGTCGATAGGATATTTAGCAGCATCTCTGGCCTCGAGAGGCCAGAAGCACCCTTTCCCTCAGTGTGACAATCAAAAATTGTCTCCAGACATTGCTAGATGTCCCTCAGGACCAAAAGTGACCTCTGTTGTGAATTGTTGCTTTAAGCAGAAGCAGCTGCACATGCGAGGCTAGAGGTATGAAAGAATCCCACTGTGAATAGTTCAGTGTGATTCTCGCATAGGGAATCCAGGGACGTGAGGAGGATATGATATGCTGGAAGTGGGTTCAAGTCCCACTGGGTATAGTACCTCATGCTGAAGAGAAAGCAGTGTGTTTCCTGCTGACAGACAATAGTTAAGCAATGGAAGTGTTTATTTGAGAGTGTAATGTGCTCATTTTTATGTTTTTAGATGATAAATTTTTATGACACCATGGATTATAAATGAATCAAAATTTTCTTAACTTGGATGATAGGGTGAATGGTGATGTCACGAACTAAGAGAGTCTTTAGGAGAAGGGGCCAGACTGGGAAGATGAAGAAATCCTGCATCCTGAAATTCATGTACTGAGAGGCTGCTCTGGTAGTACTGAGATAGGCAGCTGGAGATAGAGGAGAGTGGGCTGGAAATGCAGCTTTAGAATCAGGAGTACAGTTGAAGCCTTAGGTATGGATTGATTGAAAAGCATGGAAGTGAGAATGGAGGGGGTGATAAATCAGAATTCTGGGGACCACCAACTTTGGGAAAACAGTGGAAGAAGCGATAAAGAGGAAACCAAGAAAGACCCACTGGAGGGGCAGAGAGGCCGGGAAAGCTTGGAGACATGGAAGTCAAGAGAAGGGAAAATTCAGTAGGGGCAGCATAAGTCGCCAAAGAGTTTATGTATCCATTGACTGGCAATTAGGAGGTCCTTGGTAAATTTGGCAAGAGTAGGCTCAGGAAAGTAGTGTAGAAGCCTGGTTAAAGAAAGAATGAAACAGGTAAGGGAGCAGAAGAGATAGGTTGCTTGCTCAATGTCATAAAATGGGCAGAAGTTAGTGTAAGCAAGGTATATATTTCATGGTTGATATATAGAAGACATGGTATTAGGTGGATATAAGATACGTAAGACAAATTCTCTGTCTGCAAGGGTAGTGCACCCTATTCTGGAGGGGGGAGAAGGGCTGTCACTCTGTTCTTTCACCTTAAAACTGTATAGAATGAGTGAGTATGGGCAATGAAAATGCAAATGGAAATTCAGCAATATGAAATGAAGGAAACAAAAAACTAGAAGTGAAACTTGAGACTGCCTATGAATAGTCACAACTCATTTTGATAGCATTACTCTAACTTTCTCATCAACCCCCCCTT